TATTTATCACTGTTATTTTGGATACCTGCCTCACTCAATATTTTAAATTATTTCTTAAAGAATAAAATTCACTGAAAGTATTTCCATGCCATTTTGAAATCCACCTATTGCATGTATTGTAATGGAGTGCAAATATGTCGTTCTGCAGTTGATTCTGGTTTTATCATGTCTGATATCATTTTCATTATAGTACAAAGAAAGGTGGTAATTCTTTTTCTTTCCTATATGGCTAGTTAGTTGTTCAAAGAATGTCGAGAAATATATGTACTATACCAACATCCATTTCTTTGTAATTCTTCTACTATACTTAAGCATAATAGAAAAAATGATATTAATAATCACTAATAAAGCACATTGTCGTGTTTTGAGTCAGAGGGATGAATCTGAGCTGTCTTGATTTTGTAGTGACTTAGACAAAACTTTTTAAAAAGATGTTAATGCCAGTACTAACTATTTGTTATCCAGGATGCATACCATCAGTTTTCACATCTCTAACCAGTTAAAGACAATAGGATGTCCAGGGTATTTGAAATTTTGAATAACATACTTTGAACCATTTGTGAATATACTCCATACTCTGACCAGGAGTCAATGCCAACATATTTATCAAACTGTGATAGTTATATTTGTTGTTTACTTAAAAGAATCTACAGTCATTTAGGAAAATCACCTCTGAGCATGACTGAGAGAACATTTCTAGTTTGGGTTAACCTAGGTGAGAAGAATCACTATAAATATAGGTGGCATCATTTCACGGGTAGGGGCCTTGGGATAAATGAAAAGGAAAGGGAATCCAAGGACAAACATTAGTTTCTCTGTGTGTCCTGACTACAGATACAATGTGAGCAGCTGCTCCCCACTTGGGCTGCCGTGACTTCCCTGCATGATGAGCGAAATTAAACCCTTACTTTCTTCCTTTCTTAAGTGGCTTTGGTCAGATATTCTGTCATAACAATAAGAAAAGTCACTCGTGTATGAACTAAATGAAAATATGACTTCCATTGGAAAGCTATCTCAGGATTTTTCATCTAATCCAACAGATTCCCTCATAGGTATCCATATACAGCCCTAGAGAAAACTCTATGTAACCTTAATTATATATTGCAGCTTATAATTAGTTTAAAACATCATAAAGGCTAGAAGTAATTGAAATGAGTCTTATAAAAATACTGCAAGTCTGCTTTAGAAAACAATGAATGAGAACAATTCAAGGGAGGACAAGAATAGATATTAAATTGCTACAGAAGGTGAAAAGCATAAAATATACATAATTATTATGTGGTCATAATTAGTTTTCTGTTTAATGAAAATCATTATTTCAATAATTTAAGATACTGTAGTTAGTCAAGAAATCTGATTTCCAATGTTTTATACGAGCAGAGAAAGAATCCTGCCCTCCTCCACCACAGATTCCAAATGCCCAAGTGATGAAAACCACAGTGAAATACAAGGATGGAGAAAAAGTATCTGTTCTTTGTCAAGACAATTACATAATACAGGACACAGAAGAAATGGTGTGCAGAGATGGAAGGTGGCAGTCATTACCACGCTGCATTGGTCAGTAGCTCTGACTTATTCTACAACATTCCTTCTTTAAATACTGAAGAGAACTCAGGTGAAGGGGGAATATTGAAAAACTAGGGCTTAACATGAAAACTGTGGAGACATAATCCAAACTGTTTCTATTTTCCAATGTAAATTTTTTATTTATGCTTCACTACTTCATTTCTGTTCTTCATATAGTGAAAATTCCATGTTCCCAGCCCCCTGAGATAGACCACGGATCTATTAAATTACCCGGAGTGTCAGAAGAAAGGAGAGACAGAGTGGAGTCCAGAATTCATGAACATGGCACTACACTCAGCTATGTTTGTGAGGATGGATTTAGGATGGCTGAGGAACACGGGGTAACCTGCAACATGGGAAAGTGGAGTGTTCCACCACGTTGTGTCGGTGAGAACAGCATGAAAATTCAATTCTGGTTTTAGAATAAGTCTTTACCAATAAGCTACTCTCATCAAAACCAGAAGAAAGAATGATTTAGATTGGCACATATAATTGATTATATATTTTACCATACATTTCTATTTGCATAATTCAATCTCTCCTGCTTTTGTTAATTGTATTGATTGTCTTGAAATCTAGTTTTACTCTTGCATTTCTCTTTTTAAATATGATGCATACTCTACCGACCTCACCTGCTCATGGGCATTGTAGTGTGTGACTTGCCACTGGGTGTTAAACTCCTCAGTGTCTTTTCCCAACAATGTGTTTCAGCTGCAATATATGGAAGGTTTCCTGAGAATATTCTTTCTTTTTTTTTTTTATTCTTTTGCCACTCATGATTTTTCAGAAATTTTGGTGTCAAGTTCTTTTTTGGTGTGTAAGCAGTTTAGCAGATGCAAGGCAACAGAAGGTGGTCTTAAGAAGCACTGTCCACCTCTTCTGTGATTGAACATCTTCCTTGTTAACATTTCCTTCTAGTACATAGAATTGATGTATGAGAGTGAGTTTCTGAATTAGTGCAATATGGAATCATTTCACTCTGTTCCTCTCATTGTGTTATTTTTCAGAACTTCGTTGTGGACCTCCACCTTCAATCCGTCATGGTATTGTGTCTCATGAACTAGACAGTTACCAACATGGAGAAGAGGTGACATACAATTGTGCTGAAGGCTTTGGAATTGATGGACCAGCATTGATTAAATGTGTAGGAGGAAAGTGGTCCCAGCCACCCACTTGCATGGGTATAGTTTTTTTTTTTTTCATTCTTTGTGTAATAGATTATCTAGTTTAAGCTATATTTGGCACAAATAGAAAGCAAGCTGCAAATCTAGCATATCAGAAGGTTTTACTGGATGCTGGCAGACAAACACAGTACTGGTAAAACATAGTTATATTTCATTTTCACATCATGTATCCTGAGCTATCAGCATCCTCAGACTTCTAGAAAACACTGGCTCTGTTCAAGAGGCTTATCACTACAGTGATGGTTTTAATAGTAATGCCACCATGACTACATATGCTCTAATGTTTTTAAATAATAATTATAATTAATTCACATTTGGTGAACCTGAAAGTAGAAATATGTCATAGCTTCATATGAGATAAAAATTTGAAGCAAAATGAAAATACCTCAATAATTATAACTATCAGTATTCTATATCCCATGTCATTCCAACCTTATTTATTTTTATAAAGTTGGCACATTTCAATGTAACTAAGTCAAATCTATGGGAAATCTACACTATTTATTGGTCTCTATGAACCTAAATATTGCTTCATACATTGTATATCCTACAATTTCCTGAAAACAAAACCCTGTATATTTTTTTTTCTTTCAGTAACAGATTGTGACAATTTGCCCAGGTTTGAAAATGCCATACCCCAAGAAGAGGAAAAATATTCATATAGGTCAGGTGAACAAGTGACATTCACATGTGCACCTTCTTATCATATGAATGGGTCCAACATTGTGACATGTGTTAATCGCGAATGGATTGGAGAAGTGGTATGCAAAGGTAGTTTGATGCATTTTCAACATGTATTTATTATAGTTTTAGAGGACTAGTAAAAAGGTCTAGCAAAATTTAAAAGTGGGCAAAAGTTAGCTTTTAAAAGCAAGATGAAATTTATTTATTTTTTAAAATAAAAGCATGGAATTAAAAACCTGATGGCTAATAGAGTAATGATCTTCTGAGTATGGTTCCATGGCCAGCATCATCATTATCTTTTGACCAAATATTATGAATGTAAATTAATACTGAGGAACTCATTCTAAAGATCTTAAATAGAAAAAAAAAACCGGAAGGGAAAACCTGAAGCAACCAAAAAGGCCCTAAGGAATCCGGGCAAAACCAAGTTGAAAAACATTGCCGGAAGCCAAAAAAAATTGGAAAAAAAATGGTAAAAAAACAACCTTCAAACGAAGGCCTCGTTAAAACCCAATTTCCCCAATCAGTTACAATATTAAGATATTTTGTATATTACAATATTAGGATATTCTGCTTGATCATCATTTTCTTATACCTATGTTATTCTTGAAACAATGTTTTCCTCCTTATGTTGAAAACAGATTTTTTTCCCAACTAAAAAAATCCGAATAAGGTTTTTGTGCTGTCTATTCCTCCCAGTTCCTCCCCACCTCATGTTCCATCTGCACAAATTCCCTTTAAATTTTTCATCAGAAAAGTAACACCCTTCTACAGAATAAAAAAACAAAACAATCATATTGGAATGAGACAAAATAAACAATCTGAGGGGAAAGAGCTGAAGAAAAGACAAGAGACTGATAGAGACTACAAGCCCCACTCATTCCCACACTCAGGAATCCCATGAAAGCACTAAACTGGAAACCATAATATATATGCAAAGGACCTGTAGGATTAAGAGAAAGAAGGAACACATAAATAAAGTAAAGTGAAACCAAAAACAAAACAGAAAATCTAAGTTGTATTAATCACAGTTAGGCATTCAAGAGGAATTTTAGTTGTTTTTCCTATTGTGTGAGAAAGAACACAAAGGACTTGTATTCCTGTGTTGGGCTGATTTCTCTCAATATTCAATGCCCTTTTCTAACTAAAATAATAAAAATTATCTATAACGTCTGAACTATATTTCACATAAGAGTACATCACATTGTCTTTATAAATTCATCAATTGGTTGGCACCGAGACAGTTTTCCCATCTTAGTTTCTGTTTAATAGCAATGTGCAGTAAAATTATACCCTTTTCATACAATATACCCTGATTAGAGTTTCCTCTACCTTTACTTCTTCCAGTTCTTCCCCATATCCCCTCCTCTCCAGATCAACTCCCTTTGGGTCTCTCATTAGAAAAGAAAAGGCTTCTAGGAGATAAAAATCAAACATGGCAAAATAAAATATAATAAAGATGAAGCAAAAACTATGATACAGATGTAGGACATGACAACCTAACGGGAGCAAAGGAGTCCCAGGAGCAGGCAAAAGAGTTAGAGACCCGCTCATTCTCGTAGTTAGGAGTCCCATAAATATACTAAGCTGATAGCTATAATATATATGTAGAGGATCTATTTTAGACCCATGAGATTGCCTTTATAGGTCACTTGGCCTTTTTCCTTAGCTGCTCTTAACATTCTTTCTTTATTCTTTATGCTTAGTGGTTTAATTATTACGTGGTGAGGGGACTTTTTGGTGGGTCTAGTCTACTTGGTGTTCTATAAGCTTCTTGTATCTTCATAGGTACTTCCTTCTTTAAGTTGGGAAAGTTTTCTTCCATGATTTTGTTGAATATGTATCTATGCCTTTGAGTTGGTATTCTTTTTTTTTCTCGAGACAGGGTTTCTCTGTGTAGTTCTCCCTCCAGCGTGCTGGGATTAAAGGTGTCTGCCACCACCTCCTGGCTTGAATTGGTATTCTTATCCTTCTTCTATACCTGTTATTCTTAGGTTTAGCCTTTTCATGGTGTCCCAGATATCCTGGACATTTTGTGTTATGACTTTTTTGGCTGTGGTGTTTTCTTTGACTGAGGAATCTATTTCCTCTATTGTATCCTCTACACTAGAGATTCTGTCTTCCATTTCTTGTATTCTGTTGGTTATGATTACATCTGTGGTTTTTTGTTCATTTACTCAGATTTTCTATTTCCAGTATTCCTCTTGTTTTTGTCTTCTTCATTGTTTTCTATTTCAATTTTCAGATCTTGAACTGTTTCCTTCACATGTTTAATTGCTTTTTCATGGTTTTCTTGGCTTTCTTTAAGGGATTTATTGATTTCTTCCAATTTTTTGTTTGTCTTTTCCTCAATTTCTTTAAGGAAATTTTTCATTTTTTCTTTAAAGGCCTGTAGCATCTTTATGAAGCTATTTTTAAGGTCACTTTCTTCTGCTTAATCTACATTGTGATGGTAGGGTCTTACTGTTGGAGGAGGGCAGGGTTCTGCTGATGCCATATTGCTCTTTATGTTGTTGTATGTATTTTTGTATTGACATCTGCACATCTCTTCCTCTAAAAGGCGCAAAAGGTGCATGTGTCTGAGCAAGCTGCTGTTGGTCAACTCTGTGCTTGTTGTGTGTGTGTCTCAGGGGGCTCCTTTGGGTCCAATCATAGCTCTTGGTCTACTTGGAGCTGGCAGATTCTGAATCTCAGGGAGCTGCACTTAGCCCAATCCAAGCTAGCTGATTCTATGACTCAAGGAGTCACTGTTGGTATTATCAGGACTCTTGGTCCAGTCAGAACTGGTGGATTCTGTGTCAGGAAACCACTATTGGTCCAATGAGAAATGGCAGATTCCTTGCCTCAGGAAGTTACGGGAGTCACAGACAGATGGGTATTGGGATAGGACTTGGGTCTTATAGATTACAGGGTCCAATGTGGGGTTTGGTGGGACAGTATGACTTTGAGGAGTTTTGTCTGCTGGCAAGTAACTGGGTAGAGTTGGATGTTGATTCCCAGGGACTGGCTGTGTCCAAGGGCCTGGGTCCCAGAGGCAGGACTCTCTGGGAGGGAGAGAAGCATTCACCTCTTGGTCCAATGGGAGCTGGTGGATTCTTTGTATCAGGAAGTTACTGGGGTCACAGGCAGATGGGTATTGGGGTAGGACATGGGTCTTATAGATTGTAGGGTCTGATTGGGGGTTTTGGTGGGCCAGCCTGCCTGTGGGGAGTTTTCCCTACTGACAAGTAACTGGGGAGGAATTGTGTGGGCTAATGTTCATATTCTTAAATTTAATGAGAATTAAAATATTCCTCATTATTTTTATATGTTTCTTTTCAGAGACGACATGCAAACCTCCTTATATTCCAAATGGTTTCTACTCACCTCAGAGGATCAAACACAGAGCTGATGATGAAATCACATATGGATGTAAAGAGGGCTTCTATCCTGCAACCCAGGAAACAGTCGTAAAGTGTACAAGTACTGGCTGGATTCCTGCTCCAAGATGTGGCTGTAAGCTTTATTCACACCTTTAATCCTCATAATCCTGAAATTACACTTTTAAACATGGACAAATGGAGATAAGTAGCAAATATTTGACTTTTTGTTTGCATACAAGTTTTAGAAACACTTTGCTTTTAAAAGTAAGTAATATTTTAAGTAATAATAATTTTCCTTTTGAAAATAGATTCTTTTCTCACACAACATATTCTAACTATAGTCTCTTCTCCCACTGCTCCCCACAGTTCCTTCCCAACTCCCCTCACCCCCAGATCCACTCCCTTTCCACTCTCATGAGAAAAGAAATGTCTTCTAAGAGATAACAACCAAACATAACACAATAAATTATAATTAAGATGAAGTAAAAACTATCATCTCAAAGTTGGAACCCAAAAGGAGGAAAAGAGTCCCAAGAGCAGGCAAAAGAGTCAAAGACCAACTTGTCACAGTCAGGAGCCCCATAAAAATGCAAAGCTAAAAGCTGTAATACATTCACAGAGGACCTGGTGTAGACCTGTGTAGGCACCGTGCTTGCTCTGTGACCTTACATGCACCTTGCTTAGTTGGTGGAAAGGGCCTTGTTCTCCTGGTGTCTTCCTCTTCTGTGAGGTTCCCTGGGCTCTTTAAAGAAGGATTTGATGGAGATCTCCAATTTAGACTCTTCACCTAATGTCTGGCTGTAAGTCTCTGCATCTGTTCTCCTTTGCTGACAGAAATAGCCTCTCTGATAATGACTGAATAAGGTACTGGTCTATAAGTATAGCAGAATATCATTAGGAATCAATTTATTTAATTATTGATTGATTGATTGATTACTGGTAGTATTCAGTTTTTATCCTAAATCTGTGGTTTATCTAGTCTCTAGTTCTTGGTTCGGTGTGGGTTCCTTCTCGTGGAGAGTGCCTTAGGTCAAATCAGACATTGGTTGCCTGCTCTCACAAGTTCTGTGCCACTATTGCCTTAGTATATTAGACAATCAAGAAAGATTGTAGGTCAAAGGATTTAGGACTGAGGCAGTGTTTACATTTTTGATAGCCTGCCAAGTACCTTCCAGCACCAAAGGCACTAGAATCTGGGGGTGAAGGCTCTATGTAGGCACCAGATCAACTTCTCCATGTTCAATGAGTTGTGTGGATGTTCTGCTCTGCCCTGGGGCCCCACTGTCAGTTTGTAAGAACAACTCATTTTGTAGCAACAGTCTGGTTTATTTGGGGATTTCTATGAGATTGTCTTGGTCAACAACTCAACTTAATGCAACCTATTTCCAATACTGGAAGCCTTGTTTGGTGACAAGAGATGGCCAGTTGAGACTCTGCATCCCCCATTATGAGGAGACCTCATTAGGATCACATTAATATGTTTTAGAAAGTTTCCACTATCCTAGGTTCCCATATCATCCCTCAAATACCCCTTAATTCCAGCTTTCTCTCCCCAGTTCTCTCCCTCTACCCTATCTTCCCTCCTCCTCCACATTCTAGTTTCTCTTTCAAAAATCAGGCATCCAAAGGTGTATGGATTTATGTCTGGGTATTTGACTTGATTCCATTGATCACTATGTCTGTTTTTATATCAATACATCAATATATCAATACCATGTGTTTTTTATTACTATAGCTCTGTAGTATAACTTGAAACCAGGGATGGTGAGATATCCAGTAGTCATGTATTTTTCAGGATTGTTGTAGCCTTCCTGGGTTTTTTTTTCCATATGAAGTTTGGATTTGTCCTTTTTAGGTCTGTAAAGAATTGTGTTGTAATTTTAATAGGGATTGCATTGAATATGTAGCTTGCTGTGGTAAGATGGCCATTTTTACTATGTTACCAATCCATCGGCATATAAGGTCTTTTCATCTTCTGCTGTCTTCTTCAATTACTTTCCTCAAAGACTTGAAGTTTTTTTTATCATATATGTCTTTTACTGGCTTGTTTAGTATTACTCTAAGATATTTAATTTTATTTTATTTGAGGCTATTTTGAAAGGAGTTGTTTCCATGATTTCTTTCTCAGTCTATTTGTCGTTTTTATATAGGAGGGCTACTGAGATTTTTTTTTCAAGACAGGGTTTCTCTGAATAGCTTTGCACCTTTCCTGGAACTCACATGGTAGCCCAAGCTGGCCTTGAACTCACAGAGATCCACCTGGCTCTGCCTCCCGAGTGCTGGGATTAAAGGTGTGTGCCACCACTAACTGGCTAGTTATCTTTTATTCAGCCACTTTGCTGAAAATGTTTATATGCTGTAGGAGTTCCCTGGTGGAATTTGGGGCTACTTATTTATACTTTCACATGGTCTACAAATAAAAATATTTGGAATTTTTCCTGTCCAATTTGTATCCCCTTGATCTCCTTCATTTGTCTTATTGCTCTAGCTAAACCTTCAAGTAAAATATTTAATAGATATAGAGAGAGTGGACAACTTTGTCTTGTTCCTGATTTCTGTGGAAATGCTTTGTGTTTCTATTTATTTTGATTTTGACTATAGGCTTGCAGTATATTGCCTTTATTGTGCTTAATAATGTCCCTTTTATCATGAAGGGTGTTTGACTTTGTCATAAGCTATTTCAGCATCTAGTAAGATGGCCATGTTTTCTTTTCAGTTTATTTATATGGTGGATTACATTTCCTGATTTTAGTATGTTGAACCATCCCTGCATCTCTGGGATGAAGCCTACTTGATCATACAGGATGAATTTGATATGTTCTTGGATCCTGTCTGAAAGTATTTTATCCAGTATTTTTGCATCTGTGTTCATAAGGGAACTTGGTCTGTAATTCCCTTTCTTCATTGAGTCTTCATGTGCTTTAGGTATCGGGATGACTGTAGCCTTATGAAATGAATCAAGCAATGTTTGTTTTGTTTCTATTTTGTGGAATAATCTGAGGAGTACTGGTCTTAAATCTTTGAAAGTCTAGTAGAATTCTGGGCTAAAACCACCTGGCCCTGAGCTTTTAAAACTGTTTATTTGATCTTGATTTAACTTTAGTAAGTGGTACCTATTGGGAAAATTATTCATTTCTTTTATATTTTCCAATTTTATAGAGTTTGGGCTTTTAAAAATGTATCTGTATAATTCTGTGGATTTTCATGGTGTCTGTTGTTATATTCCCTTTTTCATTTCTGATTTTTTTAATTTGGATATTGTCTCTCTGCTTTTTAGTTAGTTTGGATAAGGATTCTTCTATATTGTTGATTTTCTCAATGATTCATTTTTATTCATTCTTTGTAATGTCCTCTTTGTTTCTATTTTTTAAATTTCAACCCCAGTTTTGATTATTTTTTGCTGTTTACTCCTCTTGAGTATGATTACTTCTTTTTGTTCTAGAGCTTTCAGGTGTGCTGTTAAGTTGCCAGTATGAGATCTTCCTATTTTTTTTATGTAAGCAGTTAGTGCAATGTGCCTTCCCCTTTATGTTGATTTCATTGTGTGTATCCCATAAGTTTGGGTATGTTGTGTATTCATTTTCATGGATTTCTATGTTGTCTTTAATTTTTGTCTTTATTTCTTCCTTGGCCCAGCAACCATTCAATGGAGAGTTGTTTCAGTTTCCACAAGCTTGAAAGCTTTCTGTTGTTTCTGGTGTTGTTATATACAGCTTCAATCTATGAGAGGATGCAGGGAGTTACTGGAATTTTCTTTTATCTATTGAAACTTGCTTTGTTTCTGAGTATGTAGTCAATTTTGGAGAAAGTTCCATGAGGTGCTGAGAAGAAGGTATATTTTTGTGGATTTTTCCATTGAGAGTATGTAGTGTCCTTCTCCATCTCTTTTGATTAATTTTGGATTGAAGCCTATGTTGTGAGACATTAAAATGGCTACACCAGCTTGTTTCTTAGGTCGATTTGCCTGGATTATCTTTTTCCAACCCTCGATCCTTGATGTTAAGGTGTCCTTTTTGTATGCAGCAAAGGAATGGATTCTGGTTTGGGGTCTATTCTCTTAGTCTGTGTCTTTTTATTGGGGAATTGAGTCCATTGATACTGTGAGATATCAGTGACCAATGATTTTTTACTCCTGTTATTTTATGTAATTGTTGGTGATAATTTGTTCGTGTGTGTGTGTGTGTGTGTGTGTGTGCATTTTTCCATTCTTTAGGTTTTACTGGTGTGAGATTATTTATTTTCTGTGTTTTCATGGGTATAATTAATCTCTTCGGTGGGAGTTTTTCTAGCACCTTCTATAGGGCTGAATTTCTAGATAGAATTGTTTGCATTCGGTTTGATCACAGAATATCTTATTTTCTTCATCTATGGTAATTGAAAGTATTTGCTGGGAATAGTAATCTGGACTGGCATCTGTGGTTTCTTAGAGCCTGTAGCACATATATCCAAGATCTTCTGCCTTATAGAGTCTTCATTGCTAAGTCAGAAGTATTTCTAATTGGTCTGCCTCTTTGTATTACTTGGTCTTTTTCTCTTGTAGCTTTTAATATTCTTTGTTTGTTCTCTGTTTAATGCTTTGATTATTACATGGTGAGAGGACTTTCTTTAATGGTCTAGTCGATTTGGTGTTCTCAGAGACTGCCATGGCTGTCAGTCATCAGGAGCCTTTGTTGAGCTTTAGGCTCTGTGTTCAACATGTCACACTCACAAGGCTTTGACAAGAGCTCTCAGTTCCTTATCATATAAGCCTCTATGTAGATTGCCTGATGACAGCTCATTTGCTCTAGTTAGTTATCAGAGAGACAGTGGGGGCCCAGAATCTGTCTGTGATCTACTCACACACAATTGTTTCTGGCATGGCAGTTCTTTATGTTCTGAGTCCAGCTCACACATGAAGAGGGAAATTATGTTATTTTTGTTGGAGGGAGTTGCTTTGGAGGACTTCAGTGGCTTCTTAACACACACACAGCATCATTTGAATCAAGAATATTTTATTTCTGATATACTTCTTTCATACTTTTCAGGTTTTTGCCTATCTATATCCATATTACTTTAATCCTGTTTAGATGCTCATGATAAATGTATATCATAGTGAAGCCTGGTATCCCTTAAGCCAAATATATATATATAGTGACAAAAGAGTGGTCAGGGATCTCCTTTTAGTCCCCATTCTGTCTCTGTGTTAGTATTACTGAAGAAATAACTTAGAAGAAGGATTTCTTTAGTTTTGGTGACTTGATTTCACGGTCAACTAGTCTCATCACTTTAAGCCTGTGAGAGGCGGAGCATTATGTGAAGGAGTGAGAGCTAAAGCAAAGCTGCTTGCCTCCTTCCCACCAGGAAACATAGCTATAAAAGAATGGCCAAGGTCCCACTACCCCTTCAAATGCAGAGCCCCAATGATCTGACTCATTTCAACCAAGCTAGCAACTTCTGAACTTTACCCCCTCTCCCAATAGCTCCAGCAATGAGAAACCAAGTTTCCATTAAAGTGAGATTTGAGGAAATGTATGAGGTCCAAATCATAATAGGAAAGAAAAGCTATATTCAGTAAGAAATATTATTACTTTATGGGAATTATAAGGGAAAATGATTTTTTATAATTTTTAAAATTTAATTATTTGACAATTTTTACATGTATATAAAACATCCTGGATAGTCTCTCTCCATAATGTTTTCTCACACCCCATCTCTACCAATAACACTTCATACTTGCCTGTCTTTCTCCCAGATTCTCAAATTTGAGTTTTGATGAATGGTACATGTAGTTTAACAAAGGGCACATGTGCAGCACTTGGATTGGGGTACTGTCTATGGAACCTAGTTTAGTCACTTGTGGGTATATACCTGAAATCGCTGACTCCCATTTTTTTTTTCTGAATCAGTTAGATGAAATAGTTCAGAGATGAGCACCATGGTTCCCTGAGAGTTTACTCCATTCATGCCTGGATGTGGATGGCCCATTCTTGATAGGCTCAGTGCAGACATCTGTAGATGTTGATAGTTTGTGATTGTAATGGCTCTGAATAGGCCAGGAGATATTTCACAGCCATGATTACTATATTTCAGCTCTTAGAATCTTTGTGCCCTTTCATCCACATGTTCCTTGAACTTTTGAGGGATGGTGTAAATGTCTTGTTTAATGATGAGCACACTCTTACTACTCCCATTGCCTTGGGCATTAACAAATCTCTACATTCATCATAGCTTACTGGAAAAGAGGGGCATCTCTGATTAATGCTGACAATTTTGATTATCTAAAATATGAACATATATATTTAGAAGATAGTTCAATGTTATGTCAATTTATCTTACTAACAGAATTAATCCCCCCCTAGATCTTATGAAACCCCTGCCATAGGCTTTTGAATAAGTTTACAATTACATGTGTGGAGTCTGTGTAGTGGAGTTTCTACATTATAGGTCTGCCCAAAGATATCTGGACCATCTGTGGCATGATTATATCGGAATATGAGGTTTTGCACATCAGAATTTCTAGTGTTTTCCTGAATAAGATAAAGATGACTAATTTCATTAAATACCTTTTGTACTTAAAGTGTGTAGTACTCTCTTCTCAGGCAGGCCTGTTCAATTACTCATTTCTTTCATCAAATGATTTGCTATTTTGGGGAAAATATGTATAAATTCACAACTGAAACAATACAGGGGATGATGACCATGAATCTTGATTAGGAGAGAGTCTACAAATTGATCTTTTGTGCCATATTGAATCTGTAGTAGGATGAAACTTACAGGTAATAATTAGAAGATCCTGGAATAGGTCAAAAATTTAACTATGCTGTTACTTATTTAAAGCTTTTTGAAAATTAGTAAATATATTAATCAATGTTGTGAGTAACCTGAATCAAGACTGTGACGGACCAACCATCACTGCTGATTGGCCAAGACCTACATCTGGAAACGTGTAAGATTCAAATGGGGCTGCTTTAAGTACTGACCACCTCTGCCGATAATGCACTTTAAGGAATATTAGGTTTGTTTTGAGGAATCACCTATAAAAGAGACAAGAAAAATTCATCTGTGTCCACATGAGAAGGAAGATCAGCTAAGAGACAGAAGAATGTGTCTATAAGGCTATAATATCCCTACTTTAAACCATGTCTCCTTTTGTTACCCTTTAAAAAGAATTCTCAGTGTGCTAATTTAATTTTTTTTAATTAAGAAAATTTTTTCATTCATTTTACACACCAAAGATCCCCCTCTTCCCTCCTCCTGCTCCTCCAGCCTCCCCCTCTGAACCCACCTCCATTCCCCCCCTACAAAAAGGCAAGGCCTCCCATGAGGAGGTACATTCAGTAGAGGCAAGGCCAAGCCCCTCCGCCTGCCTCAAGCCTGGATGAGGTATCCCATGATGGTAGTGGGCTCCAAAGAGCCCACTCATGCACCAGGGATGGATTCTAACTATTTTAATTTCTTGATTTCTTATGAAAAGTAAAATTATCAAATTTTATAGAAGAACAATACAGGGGATGATGACCATGAATCTTGATTAGGAGAGAGTCTACAAATTGATCTTTTAGATAGAAGAATTTAAATTTATAAATCATGTAACAAATGTTTGTGTGCATGAGTAAGGAAGGCATGAGATTTGTTTATTTGGGCATGTACTGGAATTCTTTTAACATACTTTATGAGGGTCTCTGAACTAGAATTATGTTTCATAGAAAAATTAATCCTATTCTGATATTAAAATATTTATTAATTATAAATAAGAACATGAAGAGGGAAAATTTAATGAAACATTTCATATAAACTTATTAATACAATGAACAATATAGCATTTCAATATGAAGTTACAAAAATTGTTCACTGTTATGTAATCACATTATATTTCAATTCTGATTCAAATTATAAAGCAGTTATCATATTGGATATTAACAAATATCCCTGACCCACTTTTCTGGTGACCTGTCAGGTATAACTTGATTTCATGAGGAAAGACTTCTTCACATACCTCAGCAGTCTGAATCCTATTTGTCTCCTTCTCCAGACACTCTCTAGACACGTTATTGTAATTAATAGAACATAATTTCCTGATCAAGTGGTTTATCTCTGATAGAAGTGTTTTTCTATCTGTTTGATTTTTTTTATTGCAAGTGAAACCTTGTGATTTTCCACAAATCAAAAATGGACGTCTACATAATGAAGAGAGATACAGACCCTACTTCCCAGTACCTGTAGGAAAGCGGTTCCACTACCTCTGCAACAGTGGATTTGTGACCGCTTCCAGGAGATACTGGGGCTTCATTCACTGCACTGCACGAGGGTGGAGGCCTGCAGTTCCGTGCGTCAGTAAGTCAATGTCTGCATTAGATCACGTTTAATTCTACGGAAGTGTGGAAAGAGAAGATCACATACATAATTATATTTATGTCTCTCATGACAAAATAAGAAACAGAAGAGTTTGTGAGCAAAAAAGACTAGTTTCTGTCTTTTGTGAGCAGCTCTTCATGAAATGAACACAGAAAATAGGGACTATGAGAAGCCTTTATTGCTTCCATATTTTATTTATAAAAACTAAAATTAAATGCTACTTTTTAAAGCATTAGGTTTTGTTTTTGAATGCCACAAATATTCATTTAACTATTGTAAAGATAAACTTTAGTTTTTTAAAAAAATAAATGAATGTTTTTTTTTTTAAATTTAACATTTATGGCATATTTATTGTCCTAGGGCAATGTGTTTTCCATAAAGTGGAGAATGGGGAATCTCCATACAGGCAAATACCATATAGTCAGGGCGAGTCTGCAAAAGTCAAGTGTTACCCTGGCTACAGTCTTCCAAATGGTCAAGACACAGTTACATGTACAGAGAACGGCTGGTCACCTCAACTCAAATGCATCCGTGTCAGTAAGTAACCAGCTCCGAGATCACAAGATGCTCTTGACTCCCCATCCCATCTATATTACCTGTGGCAAAATACTTCTTTTCAAGTGTGTGTAAGTGAATACTGAGGATTCTTGGTAATTATATAGAAAAGTAAACACACCTAGTAGACATTACAACAAAATATTGACTAAACTTTAGAGTACTATAAACTTTGAAATCACTTTGTTATTTCACTCAAAACAATTATAAAATATAGTTTAAAATTAAATAAATATGATAATAGCTACACCCATCATTCATATATTCAAGTAGTAACATGCCATTTTAAAGCTCTGCTAATTGTCTCTGAATCCTTTGTGATGTGTAACTGGAAAGGGAATTCTAGGACATTGTGTGTCTGGTTTTCATGTTTTTTCCCAATCTCTGTAGTAATGTTTGTATTGATGATTACTTCTTGTTCTGTGTTCTTGAAAATGACTGTGTGATGCCACACTTTATTTTCAGAATAAATGTCTATAAAATATTACAACATAATAGTGCTGATTAAAATTCCTTTCCTTGGGCTGGAGAGATAGCTCAGAGGTAAAGAGCACTGGATGTTCTTCCATAAGTCCTGAGTTCAATTTCCAGCAACCACATGGTGCCTTACAACCACCTGTAATGAGATCTGGTGCCCTCTTCTGGTGTGTAGGCATGCATGCAGGCAGAACACTGTAGACATAACATATAAATAAATATTTAAAAATTCCTTTCATTATCATTTGGGTTTTAAAAATATTATCCTAAGTCAATTTGCAGACAATAAATTTAATTTTTC